TTTAATGACGGTTCATACTCAGTTCTCCGATTCCGACTTCATTCAGCTTCGCCGCCGGCTATGACCGCGGGGCCTTTTGCGCCGGCGCTGCTGCGGCAATTAAATAATAAAAACAGCATAGAGCAGCAGAAAAAACGTATAAATGTATATGTACATATATGTATGTATATAGATAGATGTATGTGTGTTTAAAGACCAGCAACTAAATTCTAGGAAACTCAATTTATTACAAGTTTTCGAGTGTGAGAACCGCTCGACTCGCCTGTCAATGGTTCGCATTGTTGTTGCTGTTGTTGTCGTAGCTTTGACAGCTTTAACTGCGCTTGACCGTTTGGCACATGCGCCGGGGCCGCCGGCTGGACGGGCGGACAGACCTCCAGACAGACATCGCAAATTAAGGTCCGCGACCGCGACCGGACCGGTCACTTAAAACTTCGTTATGTATCGGTATTGGTATCGGTATATGAGCAACATGTATGTGTGTGCTTCTCTCCCTTTCTGTGTGTGTGTGTGTGTGTGTGTGTAAGTGTGTGCGGTTTGGTTACGGAACTTCAAATTGAACGCTTTTGTGTCTGGTGTGGACAACTATGATGATGACTGCTACTCTCCGCTGATGCTGATTGCTGCTAATCTTTGCCAAATGTGATTAGTCACGTAACATTGGCACGGCGACCTGCACAGCTCTTTTATATCATTATTGTACACACACACACACACCTATATATACTTAATATTTTTGCGCTTCTTTTTTTTTAGGCCAATCAGCTACAAGTTTGAAGAATACGAAAATTGCAAGAGGACCATTAAAGAACTCGCCTTGGCTGATCGTTTCAAAAAGTGCTGTCAGAAATTAGCAGGCTTATGATGATATTTTAATGACATAAGTGAAGATATCTGCTTAAGTATTGGAAGCTCAAAAATTACCAAAAGGAAAAATCCAATCAAAAACACAGGCTAAGTTAATTTTTATAAATTAAAATAAAATATGTCCTGTTTGAGTCAAGTATATAGTTTTTAACGTACTTTTTCAAATGAAATCTTTTAAGGATATCTAGTGAAAGGTAGCCGCCATTTTTATGTAAATGTAATTTTTGTTAGAAAAAATATGTATTAAAAAAAGTTTGTTGGTATTACATAGTTTTTGCTTAGAAGCTCCTGATATAAAGTAAGATAAATAATTTTACTAACAATGCATATTTATTTATTTATTGCTTAGAAGCTCCTGATATAAACTCTGACAAATAATTTTAGTAACAATGCATATTTATTTATAAGTAGTATAAATTACATATTAGGACTTTTCACTGGAAACCCCAATTAATATATCTTACAAGTAATTAAAGGCCAATAGAATATTTTAAGTTTTTTCATTCATTCATTTCTAAGCCATCATTAATATGTATTTAATAAAAAACAATTATCATTGCATCTAGGGTACTACAAGTAATAATTCTGACACTTTTACTTCTATATTTCAAATAACTTGAACAACTTTTTTGTCATTTGCTCCAAAATAAGTATGATGCTGGCAATGATGCGATTGATATTATTTTATGTAGGCCAATAACTAACGGCTCGATTAGAGCGTCTTGAACGGTTAGTAAGCGCTTTAAAGTAGCAAAAAAAAAGATTTATATATAAATGAAGAAGTACAGTAAGGTGCGCACATCTCGTGACCTCTGAGTGTTGGCCCCACACTAATTCCATTCCATTCCATTCACATTCACATTCACTCAAGCAACTGTAGTTGATGCTGCTGCTGCCGATGCTGCCCCGGGGCCAGGCAGTGCCACCTACTGCAGTCATAATACACACACGCCGCAAAATTTAATGCAGCCATATTAAAGTAAGCGCAAGACCACCACTTAATAAAAAATAAAAAAAAATAAAAACAAAAAAAATCAAAAATAAAAACCGGCCAACCCAGCCGATGGAGCGGGTGCTGGCGATGGGCTGAGCAAGGGGCCAGGCATCGTTGAGATGAGCAGCGGCTGTTTGGGTGGGGGAGGGGGTTGGTGTGGGGCTGCCATGCAACAACTCGTGCCAGCATCTCTGGCACACAAACACACACACACACACGCCCGCCAACACTGGCTCTGGGCAGCGCTCGTCCAGTGGAAACGTGCGCGTGTGCCAATGCAGTGTAACAACATCCCATATTAAAGATATTACAGAGTCAATAGCACACCATATAAGTGTGGCTCGGCCTGTGCCTCACACTGGCTAACTGTCTCTGTCGCACACTCAAACTTTGTCTCGCTTTGGCTCTGGCTCTGGCCGTAAACAAAGTAAATTGAGTTCGTTCGACAAAACGCTGCGAGCCGCGAGCTGCGCGCTGCGGCTTCATCGCGCATGCGCCGCGCCACAGGCCGCCTTGCTGCCTGCTCCCCCCTACCCCTTTTGTGTTCGGCTACGCTGTGGTCTTAACGATCGTGTGTCCACAGTCATTACAATGTTGGCCAATGCGACGACGTCAACTTTGCCGCACACTTACCGCACGCTGCTTTTCTCTTTCAAGTCGCAGCAGCAGCAGCAGCAGCTATTCGCCTCCTCGCTCCTCGGTCGTGATCTTGCCCGTAAGTGGTCTTGTATCTTGAATTCAAAAATACGTACAACAGGGAGATACACACACACACTCACCCTGCACACACACACACACACACACACACCCTGCACACACTTACACATAAAAAGGGCAGGTGTGTCGATCGTGTGAGAACCACGTTCCAAACCATTTTCTCACGATCTTCGCTTCTGATATTTTTTGTACTGCGCTCCGCTCCTTACCCTGCCCCTCACCCTGTGCACGACCAGTCCCTTCGGCCGTCAATTTGTGTGTGCGTGTGCTGTGGCCCTTCAAGTGATTCGTATGCAGTTTGTGTATTGTAGATTTTTAATGACTCGGGCTTGCGTTCGAGCGGCGAGCAGCGAGCGTCGAGCTCTTTGCAGATCTTTGAGCGTTTCGAAGTTTTGGGATTGGGATACGGTTTCGGTTACGTTGCAACACATTCGTTCATCATTCATCGGGTTTACCTTTAAGATTAAGTATCTTTTGTAGCTGCTGCGTGCATTTCCTTTTGCCTTCGCCTTATGCCATATTCTGCTTATTGTCCATTGTCGTCTCTGGTTGTGCATCTTGTTGTCGTTGTCGTTGCCGTTGTTGTTGTTGCCATGCCACAATTATGCTGCCTAGGGATGACCGAGGATCAACATTGAGTTGCGATTTTTTTTGTCTGTATTGATCATATGCAAATTTGTATGAGCTACACGACTGAAAATTCAATTGAGTTATACAAAATTTTTTTTAGCTGTTTTTTTTTTTTAAGTTGTATTAGTTTTATAGGTGTCAGTAAGGCATAACCTGTGGAAATTATTAATATTAAGGAATCTGATTAAAATGGTAAGGCATTTTATCTATAGGGTGCAAATAAAAGAGAACCCTATTTGATATCTGATATATATATACTTATATTTAAAATTTATTTATTTAAAATCTTAATTTATGTTATTTTTATTTATTTTATACAATATTATATTTTTTTTATAACAACACAAAAAATGTTCATATGCTCAATTAAATTTTTAGTCAACCTAAAATTAATTATTAAATGAATAATAAAAAATGTACTTTAAATTGTTCTTTGGTTAACCCGCATTACTTAAATCTTACATGAAGGTGAATTTACTGGTCAGAAATCTTCAGTCTTAAGATTGTTAATGCTGATGAAGGCCACGATTTTGCATCCCCAGAGGTGCCCCCATAATTTTCATGTTGTCTGGGCTATTTTATGTGGCTGTCTTTAACTTCATTGATTGTTAACAGCTCAGGCGTCGAAGCTACTGGTCTTGTTGGAGCAGCAACAGCAACAACAACAACAACAACAAAAGCAGCAACAACAGCAGCAGCAGATAACCAAATGATGAGGGCCAGCTAAAAGTGATATCCTGTCAGGGCCCAAGCTGTGGATTGCCCTAGGGTAGAGCAATCATTTTACCTTTACCTGAATGTCAGACAGACAGCCCGAGCAATTATGTGTCTTGCCTTGACCGTTGTGCACACGATTTTCTAGACGAGTGCCCAAAAAGGATGCTTAATGGTTGGAGGTTGGCCGGAGGGTTGTACAACGATGACTCGATCCTTTTCTACTATTGTTTGGGCCGTTTTTCTTTTCAAGAAGATTTCGTTTTGGGCCTAAGGCTGAGCGACATTGTCGTAACTCGATTAGGCACGCCAAGAGATAAGTCTCTAATTTTTTATGTTGCCCGGTCTTATTGTGTGCACACGTGTTCAAGGGGTGCTCCTGGACCCTGGACGCGTCGGCAGACTCGTAACGGACATTGATTTTATTTTTCTACTGTTTTTTTTTTTTTTTTTAGTTTTCTTTTTTGGTTTTCTTCTCGGCCTTAGCATTGTTTTCGCTTTCTATTGTTAAGAGATTTTTGGTCGGCATTTTTAACAATAAGAAGAATCAGAAAATTACAACGAATTGACTCAGTTGGGTTCGAGAAAATTGTAGCAGCAGTTTAGGCTATGGGCATTTCCGCCACAACAACTGATTGACCCTCCTAACTAATATATATGATAATATATACATGTATATTTATATATATATATATATATATATATACATATATATACATATTCCGGGAAAAAGTTTGATTCAATTGGATAGTCAAATGTTGCTTATTGATAAGCAGATATTCCCATTAATTTCAGTCTTATAACCAGGGGTAAATACGATGTGTCAATAAAAGATACATGGGTATTTCGATTTTAGCTATATAATTTATTATTAAACTTAGTTATCACATGAACTGCGCAGCGGTTAAAGCTTTTTTGTTGTTGTTGTAAACTTAATGCTAAGTGGGCGTCAATGGGGCTTAGTTAACCCTTTGACTTGGAAGACATTTGCTATTCTTAACTCTCATTCTTATAGTCTCTCTCTCTTTCTTTCTCTATCTCTCTCTCTCTGTCTCTCTCTCTGTCGCTCTTGCTGGTTCTACCAAGGCCGCCAGACATTCTCCTCATCCTCGCTGTCTGCCACCTCCTCCATTTTGGTGACATCAATGCTGAGATTGCTGGAGCAAGTGGTCAGGAGCGAGGCGCTGCCCAGTTGTTCGCTGGCCACACTTGAGTTGGGGCTGCCGGCATAGCTGGAGATGGGCGAAATGGGCACAGAGTAGGCATCCCGGCTGGCAATGTGCACGGAGAGTGGCTCTGTCACTGGGAGCACCTCCTTTACGGCGGGCTGCAGTTGATTAAGCCGCTGGCCCAAATGTGTCATTAACTGTGTGCCCAGGCTGACATTCATGCCGGGCAGCTGGGACAGCGAGCGGGACACCTCATTGACGGCGTGTATATATCCGGAGCGGAAGCCCTCGGCAGGCGTAAGTGTCTCGGCGCCACCATTGGCGCGCTTGTGCTGGCGCTGTTGCTTCATCTTCTGCAGATGGGTGACGGTCAGCTCGAGTATGTCGGCCTTTTCCAAGCGTGTGACATGCTCGCCCTCCGATTCCAGCGTGGCGACCATCAGATCCTTTAGCTCATCTAGACACTTGTTGATGCGTGCGCGCCGCTTGCGCTCCAGCAATGGCTTCATGACCTTGCGGTATTGGTACGTCTTGGACATTTCCGATATTTGCATTGACGACATTTTGTTGGGTATTTAGTGTTTGGTATTTTGGTTGCTTTGCTGAGCTGTTGCTGCTCCGAATGTGCAAGACGTTGTGTGTTCTTGCCTCGCCGGACCGCTGCCTTTTATAGCCGAGCCGCAAAAACAACCCCCATAGTACCTCGTGCGCTTGGATCGGTCTCGGCTTTGGGTTCGGCTGTGCTGGCATTTTGTGCAGCGTGTGCTGGCATGAGGGTTGCTCGACGACGACGTCGTCGACCCTTCCGCTGTTTCTTATTGTTCGCTCGGTTTCTTATTGTTGCCCTCTGGTGGCACCCTTATCATCAGCGGGCACCAGGGAGCAGGATCGCTGCCTTTGCAGGATCGTTGCCTTTGTGCGTGTGTATGTGTGTTTACTTGAGTGTGTGCTTGGCAGTATCGTGGGAACCACTTTCCTCCTTGGTTTCTCACACCAATATTCTGAGGCTCACCTGCTCAATGGGCAACGAAGCGCAGCTCGAACCATGCCCCGCCTGGCCAGGCCATGGGAATTTTTGCAGTTTGTGCGTTTGTGAGTTTGTGGCGCAGCTGCCATTTCTAGGCTTGTGTTATGATTTGCCTAAGAGCAAGGGCGAGTGAAAGGATAATGAACTGCACGCTTCTTGCCATCTCATTTGTGCCAACAGACGATGGCCCGTTGGCGTGGGAACGACACGGCCACAATGCCAGGACCAGCAGCATTCTGCTGGGGCGTTTCGCTTAGGCGAAGCAGCAAAGAGCAGCACTTCCTGTTTGTGCATTGGTATTTCATTTCGGCTCGTCCTGCACTTGTTGGCCGGATGTGTGCCAGTTATGATCCTGTGGGAACATTGCTCGTGTGCGACGAGTGTGCTTAATGTGTGTTCCCGTTGCTTTTTCTCTGGCTATGGCTCTGCCCTGATCCTGGCCCATGGACACCTTTTGTAAGTAAGAGTCGAAATCGGGCAGGGGCCAAGCGATGCTGTTCGATGCTTGTTGCTCGACTCTTGCTGCTCGTTACTCGCGTGTGGCGCACGGTGGACACACTTTCGACTTTTGACTGTAAGTCGTGCGCGTTCCAGGCTCTTGTAATTGCACTGTGGATATTGGGTGTGAGCTGGCATTGGGTGAGCATTTACATGCGCATGTGTATGGCGAGGGATCGATATGTGGGATGGTGTTGGTCTGTTGTTGTTGTTGATTGGAAATGGATGTGATCAGCCATTATTTAAAGCTTTTCACTGAGTCGTAAGCTGATTACATGGTTACATTAATCACCATTTCAATTGAGACTTAGGGCACAAATTCAAAACAACTTCACAACTCCAAAAAAAGGCAGCTGATAAAAAAAATAAACAAAAAAGATTTTCAATAATAATAATATTTTTTAATTATTAATAATTTTCTTATATATTAAAATATGAGAAATCACTCAAAAAAATAACAACAAATAATTATTCATCAAATCAATTAGGGGAGTATTAGCAATTTATTTGTGAAAATGTTATGTTATATCTGAGGCGATTTGATCGCTTACTTGTTATTATAGGAAAATTGTATTTAATTATTTTTTAACTGCGAAAATATTTATTGATGTTCCAAATACATCTCGGAAAATAACTTCGTGAAACCCTTGTGGGTTTATTATTATTTTTTAGATTTTTATTGATTTCACAGAAAACATGTCTTTTATTTAAAGTTGAATTTGTTTTAGTTTTTACTTAAGCATCTTCAATTAAACTTATATGAATAAATACTAATTCAACTTATTCTACAGCCTAAGTCTAACATAAAATTAACGAAAAAACTTTGGTTATATAAGCCGATCTGAGATATCGATTGAATTAGACCTCCGCAATCTCCTACGCATTTGCGCTCCTTCAATTCTACGCCTCTTTAGGAATAGTCTAGCCAGTCGATTGGGGTAATTTCCAAGTAACGTGATGTAATTCGCAACCAAATGGGACGTTCGCATGTACCAGGGGTGCCTCCGATCTTTATAAGACGGGATTTAACAGAGAAAATTTGTCAAATTTTTGTTGTATTGAGCTTTTTGATTTAAGCCGTCATTTTATTTGAATTTGAGTTCAAAAATTTATGTATTGCTTTAATTCAGATAAATTAAAAATACGTTTTATTGAAATTGTAACGAATGCATATAGGGAAAAATGTTGTTCTGATTTTTAGGATATATTAGCTTATTTAAAACATTTTTACAAAACTTGAATTATTAATATTTCTTCATTACATACATTTTTGGAGATATATTTTTTCCAAATATTCGTGAAAATCAAAATAATTTCATAATATACAATCTATATTTATTAAAAGCATATAAATTAAAGATCAATTAAATGATTTGTTTCAAAATATCTATGAGTAATCATTTTACAGTTTAATCTAAATGGAAGCTCAATGGGAAGCTCGGTGTGTATTCAAATTAATAAAAATGATGTTTAAATATTTAAGTATTATTTGCTACTGGAGATCATATGCAAAAAAACGCACTTAAAAACTATCACAGGAACATCACATCATATAGGTATAAAAGCTCGTCAAATAATCATCAAATAAACGAGGGCAAATGTTTACAATAAACCTTGGAAAACTCGATCAAAACTTATGAACTAGAACCAGATTAATAAAGCTCTCAGTGTGCAAGTGTAATAAAGCTAAGGGATGGGCTTTTTGGATAGTTTACCAGGGTCGCCAAACATCCTCGCCCTTGTCTAGATTCTCTTGTGGTGATGTGGAGCGCTGTTGCTTGCCATTGGCCAGATTGACAGGTTCGTTAGCATCTTCACTGGGCACTGGGCTGCTCAGTTGTTGTTTCATATCCTTTAGCTGATGTCCAAGCTGCTTCATCAGATGCGTGCCAAACTTAAGATCTACACCGGGAACCGTGGAGAATATGTGGGAGACCTCATAGGCGGCCTGTGTGTAACCCGCGCGAAATTTGTCAAAGTTCAACTGATTCGCAGGTGGAGAAGTGGGTGTGGACATGTCTGGAGGAGTGCCGGCACTGCCGCAGGCCAGACGCTGCTGCTGTTGCGTCTTCAGATAGTTCACGGTCAGCTCCAGTATATCAGCCTTCTCCAGCTTGTTGACCTGCTCGCCCTGCGCGTCCATTGTATCCACAATGAGATCTTTCAGCTCATCCAAGTAGAGATTCATGCGCGCCCGTCGCTTTCGCTCCAGCAGCGGCTTGGTGACCTTGCGATAGTGCTGCGTCTTGGTCATAAATCTTTGACCCTCCACGGCCATAGTACTAATTTGATTGGGTGTGTGTGTTAATTCTGATGTTGCAAGTAGCCTTATAAATTTGTCCGGGCGTATGTTGAACGCTGCTGCGGAACGGACACTTGCTGCTGTTCACCGCACGGTAGTCGCTTGAGAAATGATCTTGCCGCAAGGTAAACTGATCCTTTTTGTAGCTGCAGCAGGCGTCGGCGTCGGCGGCGCGTACACTTGCAAAATCCTCCCCTAACTGCTACCACGCAACGTTCAAAACGATCAGAGCGAAGCGGATCCGATCGGGAATGATGGCCCAAGACGAGCATCAATCGTGTCGTTGTGCGTAAGTGTGTGTGCCTCCGACGCTCTGCTTGTGGCAAGATGCCCTCAACGCTGCACGTGTGCAACATTTAAAAGAAATTTATTTTGCTTGCATCACTATAAGATACCCTGTACATTCAAATAACACTTTAAATTAAAATTTTAAAAAGATTTGATAGAATACTGCTGAATTTATTTAGAATTTATATATATATATATATATATAATATAAAATCATAAGTGATGATTTTTAAAATTTCCACATGTAAATACCCTATCGATTAAATAGCTTAGACATTTGTGACAAGTGAGCGGAAGCCGTTTATCTACACTGAAAAAAATTGTTGACGCATGTAGTGAAATTATACGTAGGTAAACAGTTTATTGGATTAGGTGGTTTTTAAAAGCTTGGCTGGTAATTTTTGTAATTTTTTGTCCGCTAACGGGGTGTTCGTTTAAAGGTGTACGAATGAGTATGGTCTAATTCTAATGGCTTGAGAGTATATATCTGCACAAGACAAGCGTCCACCTTCTAGAAGTGTACGTTAGTTAAGCTTTTATTATAAGGCTATCAAAAAATTTATAAGCAAATTAAATTTGTTAAAAAATGATAACAAATCGTATGTAAATATTAACCTTAAAACAATGAAAAACTAGCAAGCAAGAAAACGAAAGGATTCATTAAAGTAAATTTTTACCAGCAAATAAAAATGTTATAAAATTATATTTATTTATCTAAAAAATGTTGGTGAGCTTGAACTGTGTTCTAAAAATTACGAATTGTTATTTATTTTCGCGCTGTGCACACGCCTTGGGCTGATGCCAACAGCGCGTACGCTATGACTCTGCCAGAGCGGCGCTCTCTTTTTTTCTCGTGCCGTTGCCGTGCGCCTGCGCAACAGGAACAGAGCATGAGCCTGAGCCAGAGACAAAGGCCGAACCAGAGGAACCACCACCAACAGCACGATGAGCAGAAGCGGCAGCAACTCGCACCACACGCACACGCACACACGAGCTGGCTGCGTGCAACATTTAACTCAAGAACGAATGCGACGGCGACATGACCTCGACCTGGCTTTGTCTGTGCCTCGCACACTCTCTGGCAACCGTGCCCCATGCGTGCCATGCCCGTTCCCTTTAGCTACCCTCACTTGGGCCCCGGGCGGCAATCTCAACGATGGCGGCGACATTGTTGGTTTTTCTGTTTGTGTCGTGGCAGTGTTTTGCTCTCTTTCCTTTGGCGCGCTGTCTTCGTGTGTGTGTGTGTGTGTGTGTGTGTCACAGGCAACAGGGCCAGATCGAGACCCAGACCTCATTTCCTCTTTGACGCGACATTGCGTTACACTTACGGACGGGAACGGGTCGCGCTTGCTCGCTTGCAACCACCGCAACCACTGCCACCCGTACCAGTTGCCAGTGCCAGGCACTTGCCAGCCGGTGTGCCGTTGGCGGCACATCGTGAGAAAGTTTACTTCAAGCATTCCCACAAGTATTGGGATTGTATTTTCGAGATTTTGGCCCGGTCAGCTGTGGCACTTGCTCCGTTTTGGCGCGTTTGCAACCGGGATTGGCCCATCGACAAAATTCACCTGCTCGACCAACGCACCGAGGGTGAGCGTCTGCCCCCGAGCCCGAGGGTCGTGTAATCGCATGCATGAAATTGAGAAGCCAACAAACACAACGACAACTGCATTTGGTGATGAGGCCCTGATTCCGTTGCGTCGTGGGGGAGGTTTTCAATCTTGGCGCGCTAAACAACGCACCAATGGATTGTCTGGCAAATGCATATCTTATTTAGCTCTGGGGTTGATCTGTTGAAATTGCGAGAACTATTATAAATATTTGCATACAAAAGAAAAAGAGCTGAAGTGCTGATATGGATGTGGTAAATGATTTAAAAGAGATTTACTTAACCTTAATCCTGGGTATCTTAGAATATTTGAAATATCCTTTTAACATATATTTATGAAAAATATTAACTTTATTGTAATGAATTCTGTAGATCATTTAACTTCTTTCAAACTAATCCAACGGGTAGTATTTATCCTTGAAGTTAATAAAATGTTTTAATAATTCGACTTTGATAAAATAATTTATTGGTTTTTTCTTTAAACATTTTATTGAGAGTAAATTAAGTTGCTCGATAAACATGTACATTGATAGACTTGAAACTTGAATATTTAATATACTATATTTTTAGTTAGCCGCATAGTTAGCAATTTCTATTTCGTTCGATAGTTATTTAAATTACAATATATACTTTTCGATTATACATAAATACACATATAGCAACACATACATACATAGAGCATAAATACGATATACTTATATATATGCAAAAGTAATGTTTCTCGGATTTGTTATACATAGTTACCGGTTCTAGTTACCTTTGATTCAAAATGTGTTAGTTTCAGTTGGTAATAATAAAAATTCTTGTGCTAGTATGCCTTATAAGAAAAGGAAGATATCGGACTAAATTGTTGCGATTAAATTTGTTGTTGTTACGAGGTACAAATGTATAAGGTATATAAATATTTCGATTTTCGTTCTTATAAACGTGTTGTATGCCTAAGCCTATTTTGCATTAAAAGACGTCTGGGGTTTGCTTATTTAAGAGGGAATTCCATTTTTGGTGTTTTACAAATTTAATAATTTAAAATATAAAAAATATTATGCTTGTGAAATAAATTAGGTAAAAGATTAAATGGACATGAGCTTAAATAAAATATGAAAACATTAAATAAATGCCGTTAATTACAATTTTTTTAATTCGCATCAAGAGATTCACAAATAATACAAAATTATGAAAAGGCCGCTTAAATGCATGCTACTTTTCTAAAGCTTCTTATTGCTGTTGTTGTTGCAGTTTTCATTTTGATTGATCAACTCGGGTACAATTGTGGCCCTTACGACTGGGCCGTGGTTTTCGCAGGAACTGGTGTGAGTAGGTATGTGCTTATTTTTAAACTACATACATAAATATTTTAAAAACTACATTGCATCGATAGTTGTTCAAAAATTCTTGCCGTTTTTGTTTGTTCCTTATTCTTTGTGAAAATATATGTACATATATATATGTATGTATATATATATATATATATATATATATTTGCTATATTACTATTTGTAATATTTATTCGTGGGGTTCCATGCGCCTCTGCCAGCTGTTTCGCCTTCCTCTATATACATACATTCAGTCCTTTTACATGTAACGAGTTTTATTTGTTTAATTTTACGCATAACCGATCATCAACAATGGACATTCGTTCGAAACGCGTTTGTACATTTTGTGGTTATTTTATTTTATTTTTTTTTTTTTGGTTTAGAAACATTGTTTAAACAGATTTAAAAAACGCATAACTTTTGCGATTAGTGTGGTACGTCTCGTGCGTGGGTTTGTTGTTGTTATTCATGCAGCTGAAAATAAGATAGAAGAGGCATAAACATATGCATAAATTATGCAAGAAACTAAGAAAATAATAAACAGAGTTAAGTTAATTATTAAGAGGGATATAAAAGCCAGAAATTCAAAGTCTAACGATGCTGGGAAAAAGTTCCCACGCATTTGGCAAACAAATTTGTTGTATATAAAAGTCTATTATCTAGTTTAACTAATCAAAATATTCTATGCAATTTATAAAAAGTATAAAATGTCGCTGTAACGTTGCTTTTTCTAGTCTAGTTTAAAGCTATTGTAAAACTCAAATCTTATTGCAACTGAAATTTTGTGTTTTGCTTTATTTTTTTTATTCATATATTTTGTTAGGCAAATTGAAAGCAGGTTTTTATGGTTTATTTGTTTGTGCAACACTGTTGCAATTCGCATGCATATATATATTTTTGCATAAGCTTTAGGTACGTTTAATATTGAATATTTATATATAAATATATGTATATGTATTTTAACATGATTCGTAATTCGATTGGTTAAAAGTTTGTATGTATATAATAAAATATGGGCCAAGTCACTAAACTGGCGATTTTGTTAGTTTAACCGATTGGTAAATATGTCAAATAGTTGTTAGTAACATCGGCCGATTTCTGCTTATATTATTAATATGTACGAAAAAATATGTAACAAACATTTAAGCCAACTACACTACGATACAAAAGAGCTAGATAATTTTAAGTCGCATATGTAATCGAAAAACGTTTTATAAATGCGTCAAGGTACTGATAAATATCGAAAATACAATTTTCAAATATTCAAACATACAATTTGCTAATACAATAAGGTGCATTTATTTTTTTTTTTTTTTTTTTTTTTTTTTTGGTAGGGGGGGGGGAGGTTTTGACAACAATTTGCATACTGATTAATTGTACTGTCCCCTATTTAGCACAATTGTTTGACTTTTTCAATTGTAAGGTACGATTTAATTTAGTAAGTAGCGCTTAGTTAACTTGATTAGATACTTGCACAATAGATTGTATAGCCCACAATGTCTTGTATAAACATGATGTGTTTTGTTTTTTGACGGCAATGCATTTGTTTATGTGTGTGTATATATAATTTGCTAAGCTTGTATAATTTCTTTTATATATTTGTTTTTCAAATTAGTTGCAGTTTAATGTGATGGACTTTCGTTCAATCGATGTTTGGCGCGAGATTTGCTGTGTGAGGCGCGGCGCAGCGAGGTGACGCTGCCGGAGCAGTTATCATAAAAGTCTAATGATTCCGATGAGAATGCTATATATTTAAACGTAATGTTGTGTTTGCATATAGAAAAAGTAAATAGAGAACATATTTATAACGTTTTATCAAAATTCGAGTGTACCAAAAATATCATCTCAAATCTGTGGCTATAATAATGCGCTAGGCTAAAAGCAAGTTTAACAATTTATGCAGCTAATTTGAGCATTAAAAAAAATGCTATCGTATTTTTCACAATTTACCTTTATCTGTGGGTGAGCCAAGCGTTAGGCTGCTCAGGCTGGAGCTGAGGTTGTACGGACGCGGTGAAGGTGGGACGGGTCCTGATTCATCGCCAGGCAAACAAGTCTCCACCATGGCTTCCAAGCAGTTAACAAACAACTCTGAAGATTCTCCCATCATGTTGTACTGCAAGGGCAACAAAAAAGAAATGAAAATTTACTAGTTGGTAATTGGTTAAAATTCACGAAACTTACCTTGGTAAAGGGCCCAGCGAAACGCCAGAGTCCGCCAAATCCGCAGCTTTGCAGGAAATGTAGTTGCTGCTGGGAGGGATCCTCGCTGGCCAACATGTTCTGTATGATGCTTTGCACGGAATTCAATACAACTTGATCGTGTGATACGGATAGTATATTATTAATTTTCTGATCCAAAAGCGAATGACTGCGGATTAGAAATGGTATATTAAAAGGTTTCAAATAAAATTGCAAAAATAACTTACATAACGGGGAATACTTTTGGAAAAACGACGGAACCCTCAGCCAAATACTGATAGAGCACGCGCGTTTCGTTCTCATCCGAGGAGTACTTTACGAGAGTTGCCAAAACGGTTAACACCAGCGCTTGTATGGATAGATCGGGCAGCACCTCCGGATCGAGTAAAACATTCGATTCATTTGAGACAGAAGAACGAGAGCCGCGTTCCTGTTGGGTGGTGGAAAGTTTGTTAGATTGATGCATAAATTTGAAATACAAATTAGCTAATAAAGGACGTGAAGATATTTGAAAATTTGTGTTTACTGTGAAAATGTTGAACTAGTTAACAAAAAAGAACAAATTGAGGTGAACAATTAAATTAGTTTCTAATGGAATTGATGGGGCTTTGAGCGAACAGGCAGTGTCATGCAGGAAAATTATATATTACTTAATTCGAGTATTTTATTATTGGGTTTCTGGGGTCTAGTTAAGGTGAGAGTTTTTTAGTCAATACCTGACGTTCTTCGATGCCGCTCGCATTATTCGGATCCTTGGTGGTTGGTACCGAAAATGAGCGTTGAGTTTTGAATAAAACTCGCGCATTCTACGATCATAAAGTTGTTTTTGTTGTTGTTTACCAAATTAAGCGTAAATCAAATGACATGTTCATGCGTAGTAGTAGTGGCAATTACGAGTAGTTTTTGTAGGTATATATAAGTATGTTGATGGGAGTTACAAGCACCAATTAGATGAAAGAGTCAGCAGGCATATAAAGTAGTATATTTGAGTATATACGAGTTACGTTGTGATATATGTATGTTACGGGGGTTTTTTTTAACAAACATAAAAAGAGATAAGAAAAAGTCATTGAACGATTAATAAGTTATGCAAATGTTGATCTCGAATAGAGTTGATAATAGGCGGAATGTTTACATAATAATTATCTCAATATAACACGAGAATAGCCAAAAGTTACTATAGCAAATGGTTATAACAACTTTTGTAAAACGATTTTTTCAAATAGGACACACAAGAAAATTTAATTGGACTCTGCCTAATTAGCTTACTTGTAGGGTAGGTACTTTATGATGACGCGCAAACTGCAGAGCTGACTGATCCAGTATATCCCAGCTTTTTTGACGTCGCGACAACGGTTGGCCGATCTGAAATATGAAGAGTAAAACCATATTATTACATTTTCAGAACACAACATAATAATAGATCAACTTCGTTTTCTTATATGCACTTACAGTCTGCACACCATTAGGTAGTTCGCCATTTTCCATGCTGCTGCCGCTTAGATCAGCCGGCCAGCGTGGCAGCGCATGTTTCACATGACAACGGGAACGCACCTCCTCGGAGACAGCCACAAGAGCTGTTAAATAGGCCACGCTGTCCGGCGTCACCTCGAATTTGTCGCGATGCAGTGGCTTGGCTATAATACCCAGAAGCATGGTCAGCACACGGGATGTACGTGACACTGTGGTTGGCGTGGGATGACGAAAGCCCTAAAATGATATTAATATTTTAGACCACACCCATTTTTTAAATTTAAGCGACTCACCTTAATTAAATGTCCGACCAGAGCAAAGTGGAAATTGCTGCGAAAAGACAAGCCCACAGCATGATCCAGTTGTTTGAAGTGCCACTCGAGCTTCTCGCGCGTTTTCATCATGACTTCGGCTATGGTTTCCTTCTTGTCGAAGCAGCCCTGCGACTTGAGCGTATGCAGATTCTGTTCGAGCAGCGCCAGACCAGCGCCATAAAGCGTAATCTCGTCCAGCTGCAGGACAGAGATGGCCACCCAAAAGAGTGCACGATGTATAGGCGACTCTGGACGTAGCAGAGGCTGAATGCGTGTGAGGCACATGACCAAAGCCTCAATCAGTATTAAATCGTTGAAAGACTCAAGCGCCTTGACAAGTATGCGTAGCAGTTGCTTAACCTCGTGATCCGTTACGCTCTTGCTAATGCAGCCATAGACAATAAGAGCACGTGGTTGCAGTGCTGGATTGTAGCAAAAGGCAAAGCTACGCGCCAAAGAGGTCCAGGTAAGCAGCCACTCGCAGTCGGGCACGTCCCGCATACAGGCCTCCATGATTTCCAGAAGAGCATCTGTGATGACCTCCAGCGAGGGCAGCGACAGGCGCTCACGATCCGCAGGCAGCGGTTGAGTGACGCGTTCATTGCCTAGCCACTTGTCCGTAGGGTGGCGACAACTAGAGCGGAAGGCTGTGACAGCCGCCGATTTAACCTTGCTAATTCCGAACAGCAGATAGAATTTGGGCAGCGAGAATTCATCAAGTGACAAACGCAGCACACGCTGAGCTTCCTCCCCAAACGAAAGATTTGTGCAGGTGCACAAAGAGTGTATAATATTTATGACCAGTCCATGGGTGGAAGCGCGCATGGACAGCGAGCCAGAGCAGACCAGAAACGTGATGGTATGGAAGAGATACGGAACCGAGGTGGCTACATCCAGGCAATTATTAAAGGATAACATAAGCAGATACCGCCCTAGTATGGCAATGTCATCCCACATCATGTGCTGTTCAAGAAATTGTGTAGGATTCGTGCACGACTTGTCCATAACGCGGCACATGCGCGTGATAACCTTCTTCGACACCAATTGGACATTAGCTGACGCTAAGGCCACAGCAGTATCGGCCATAATCTCCACCTGCGGCGAGCCCAGGCCATAGCTAATCGACTTGTGCAAAAAGTTATCCAACACCATATCAATGAGCTCAGGTATTTGGCCAATGGAGCCCCAGATTTTGGCCTGCACCGAGGGATACATTTCCTTTTGATCAATTGTCAGGCAGATGAGCTTGTCTAGAATTTGCGAGACTTTTAACTTCTTGGCGTCGTCATTGGACTTGCAAAACTTGGTCAGATTCTTCAACCAGGGTGTCATGTACTCCAAGCACAAATGCTTTAACTCAATGGTGCTACGCTGGAAGCCCTGTATGGACTCCTCGAGAAATTCCAGCGTCAGATGTGGCTCATTGGTGGCCAACTTCTCACTGACGGACTTTATGAAAATAGTGTTATTCGAGGGTATGCAGAGACCTTGCGTCTCTAGCAACTGGCCTTCAATCTTCAGATCAAAGGTGGCGGTCAGCGCGCATAGCAAATTGTAAGCAGCTGTGCGCAGATTGGGATCACAGGAGCCCAGATTTAGTAGAGCCATGTTGAGAAGCGTGCCGGGCACATCCTTGGGTCGTATCTTCTGATGCACTGTGACCGAATCCGGCTGGCTAAGCTCCCAGCGATTGCGTATGTGTATAATGGCCTGGACAATATTGTCGCAGTCGTTGTGAATGAAGCTCAACTGGCCGCTTTCATTGGTTATGGACAGGGTAAATTGGTTGTCATCGACCAGACAAACCTCCTCAATTTCAGAGGCGTAATAAACATCATTGAGCAGCACTGAATGCGCCAGGACCTTCGTTTTCTCGGCGGATGTAATCTGCAGCGCCGTGGGACCCACTTTGATGGCCACTTTCGTGTCCTTATGACTAAGCTTTAGGGCATTGCTAAACACTTTCAGATCCTCGTCTAACGAAAGCGTTGCGCCAGGCAGCTTCTGCTGTTCGGCATCAATAAAATCGCTCAGCTTGTTGGGCGACTCAAGGAATAATAATTTGCGGTTGCCCTTAAGCGGTGCCAGGATGCGATCATGGAACTTTGTATACTCGCGCACCCACGAATTGCAGTTATAAATGTATACCGCATGCACATTATCATAAGCCACCGTGGGCAGCACATAGAACCACTTTTGCAAGAACTCGGTGCGGAAACGATTATCGGAACAGGTGTGCGTAAAGTCAATAACCACCTCAAAGGGCGAGTGACAGAAGGGCTTTAGCGTGAGTATGACATGATAAATCAGGAGATCTCCATTGGTTTCACCAATTCTGCAAGGAAAACAATATTAATAGATATTTATCATTATAGAGACGGATGGGTACTCACTTGTACCGTCTGGCTATGTAGTAAAACACAGGATAGCCCGACTTGCTGGTGCCCGCTTGATAAAATATATTCATGGACTTGAGCGTTTTAAACTCCTCCTTTTCGTGCATTTGATGCTTAACCATAATTTCTTCGAAATTTGTAGACGACATATCAATAGAGCTCCAGCGTGCATATGAGCTAAACATCATGTGGGAGTCGACTGGCTTATGCTCTGGTGGACCCAAATAGGCCAATAGCGTGGCCATCTTATCAAAGGGCCGTCTGCCAACGGCCTTGTGATCACGACTGCTGGACAAATAGTCGCCTATCTTCTCCTGGTGCGTCCACAACAAACGATGCAGCGCCAGCACATTGGCATCTGAAATGAAACTCATGCTGTGTGACGTTTGGTCGACGGTCTCACAATCCGAGGCGATTTGTATAAAGAAGCGTCTTCCGGCCTCGAAATGATCGCGCAAAAAATCGTTGAAACAGAGCATGTGCTGCTCTTTGGAGAATTCCACATGGTTGGCAATGTTCTGTAGTATTTTGGACATAAGCATAAGACCGCGCTTCGCCGAACTGGGCACCTGTTTGCCCACAATGCCCAGCTCCTGCGGTGAGACTGTAAGGGAGAAAAAGATTATAACTTTGAAAGGTGAAGTTAAAGGCCCGACTCACCTATTGCTGGATTGATAAAGCGCAGGAAAATTACGGTTCCCACGGCGCCAATATTGTTTTGCAGCAGATTTGGAAATCGTTTGCTCAGCACTTGGTATAGACAGTGACACATGGAGCGTAGCTGCGGCGGAAACCGATCTGAAGAGTTGATTATAGCATCGAATACTTTTTGTGTCAGAGCAATCAAATTATTGCGGTTCTCTTCGATATCATCAGCAGGCTCTAGACGCGCTGGATCCACCTCAAAGCAGGTCTCCTGCTCATCATCCAGCAATGGCCGAATGAGCGGCTCCAATAGCATTTGCAGATAACTAGCGCCATAAATCTTAAAGCAAAATGCCATAATTTTGCTGCCCAACGAATTGCCACGGAAAAGCGTCTGCATGCAGTCCGAGACCTCGACCTCGCGATAGAACATGTTCCACAGCAGCGGCGAGAGCAAATGCTTGGCATCGAATAAGGTGACCAGCACACGTGCGAGCTCATCCATTTGCGCGGTGGTCACCACATTGGCCAGTGCCATGGCGATAGGCAGCTCGCCCTTGTCACTGATCATAGTCACTAGCTGGACGAGTTGTTCGAATCGGTCTGCTAGCACCGTCTCGGCCAGTGTGTCAAATTCTGTGCCTTGTTGTAGAATCTGGGTCAGCACCTCCATGAAAGCAGCGCGTGTTTGCAAATCCGGATTATAGCCTAGGTCAATGGAGTGCATTAATCCAGAGTCAATGTTGGCGCCCAGTAGATTAGACATTGCTTGTATGGTGGCATTCCTTAGAGCGGTCAGTTTACCGGCTGCCATACGTGGACGTGGCGGCAGCAGTGGAGTATTGTTAGGTTCTTTTTCTGCCTCGGAGCTGTCAATGCAGTCATTTAGAAGATTCATAAACAGCGTAAAATATTTCAAGAACAATGCGCTCTTTGCATCCATAAGATCTCCACGATCTGACTCCTCAGGCTGCAGTGGCAGGCCACGCAGCAGGGCAGCCACCGCCTCCATGCAAGCCTGATCAAGATCACGAAAAATCAGTGAAGTACTAGTCAACAGAGAAGCATCCACCGAGCTGGGTGGAGCTATTTGATGCGATGTGCCCATTACCCAATCCGTTAGATATTCAACAAGCTTATTGCGGAACTTCATCTCTTGGCGAAAGGCTAAATCATCGCGCCGCTTCATCATGACTTCCACTAGTTGGCATAGCTTCGTTTTGATGCGTATGGCATAGACATTCATATCCAGGTGACGCACATAGCGCACAATTCCCAACATCATGCCCTCAATGCTAGTGACACCCAAATGTTCCGATGGCGACGGCTGTTCATTATTCGGATCCTTGCTCGCTTTGGGATCCAATATCGATTTCATGATGAAAATTGTATGCTCAATGAACTGTGTGTTTATATCTGTAACATTCACATTGACCTGGCCCTGTTGATCAAAGAACTTTTCCACTATGGCTCTGATCTGATCAAAGAGTATGGGATACAGCTGTGTGGACATTTCTTCACCCACTAGCTCCTTAACATTCTTTTGTATGTTTAGACCAATCTTCTCATTGCTGCACACTAGCAGACGCAGCAGTTGTCCAATAAATCTGCAAAGAAAATAATTTAATATGCATGTTAAAGAAAAGACCAACAATTGTATGTGAAGGAACTGTTAGTAAATAATTTAATTATAATTTATACGCACTGCGTTACCGCACAATAGCTGACATCCTGTGGCGGCGCCGGCGGTATGGCGGACAAAGAGACAGTGCTGGGATGAGCCGAGCCATGGCCGGAGCTTGTCGAACTGGAATACAGTGACGCCTGCGCCAGTGATGCCACCGATGCGTTGTTCTGCGATTGTTGCACTAAAATCTGACGACTGCTATTGCCTTTCTGCAGGCAAACACCGCCCAAAGCTAGGAGGAACCAGGTCATGTTGGCCCACTCGTTGATTTGCTCCTCCAGATCATGTTCGGAGCTCTGGTGGCTGGCACGACGCTTGCCCATGCCACGATGGAATATTTCCGCTTGTGCGTCCTCGGTCTTTAATTTAGGATAAGTCTGCAGAACCTTACTAAGCACCTCCCAGTTGCGAAAGGTTTCCTCCCACGCGGGCTGGACACCGTGCACACAGTGCTCGATCTTGCGCAGCAACGTCATAATGCGCTTCTGCAGCATCAAGCGGCTCGGCACACTGCCATGGCTGTTCTCAAAGAAGCAAATGCGCGTGTCCGTGGCAGCTAAAATATATATATATAAACATTCGCCTGAAATTAATAAATCCTATATAACTCACATGAAGAGAGCTGCGCCAGTTCCTGGTAGATGTGATAATTGGGCATGATGAAGCCCACGGTCAACTCATCGGAGCTGCAGCAGATCTCTGCCTCCTCGCAAAGCAAACCAAAACAAGATAGCGATGTTAGGACCGCATCTAAGTCCACGCTCCACAAATACATAAAGAAGACCACCTCCATTTTGATGTGCGCTTGCTTGCATATGGCAATCTGGCTGCCCACGTGGGCATAGTCTTTGTGCCGCTGCAGAAATGTGTTGCGGCAGATGAGTATTTCACGCAGCCACTTAAGCACATCCGTATAGTTGGCTATCTGATGTTGTATGAGTTTCTGGGAGATGGAGAACAGCACCTGCGAGCTGACATCCCAGAATGTGTTAATGGGTGCCTCGGGATTCCAGACTTCAATTTTCTCAGGCGCATGCAGTGCTAGCAAAGCTTCCATAGCCTCCTGTGCCACATCCGGCAATGTTGTTTGATGCACCAGGCTCACCAGGCCATTTATAAGCTCTAGCGTTGAGCTTTGCACCTCATGCGCTACTTTTCCCTGCGTCTGCAAAAAAGGGTAATTTTAACTTAGTTTATGCTCTTTACGCATTCATAGACTTTAGTAGTAATTTACATTTAAAAGCAGCGTAGGATCAGCGTGTATGAGCCGCACGAGTAGTAACAAGAGCATCTTGTGTGCTGGTCCCTCCTCGGAACGTGTCAGACCCTTTTGCGTGTCTTTGGACTTGAGTGTTAAGGAAGTTATGTAGCGCAGCGGAGTGTGTGCTATGTAGCCTTGCGTGGCTTTATTTAAGGTATCTGTGAAGAGAGCTCGCAACTCAGCGGAACGATAGTGCACGACATCGGTCTGTGGCCACCAGGGCAGACGAGGCTGGTTGACTATGCGAAAGGGATTCTTGTTCTGCAAGCGAAAATCCACGTAAATGTGAGCGAGACTGAAATTATAAATATTTGTGTTTAAATAATTATATGTTGTCCATATTTTAGTGTTTTCTCACCGCAAGAGAGAGCATACAATAACAAAATGATAGGCCTGTGGTGAGGACAGATTCAAGCACACCTTCAGAGCCTCGATGTTGTGTGGACTGATACGAAAACATGATACCCAGCAGTCAATCATTAGCTCAATGTCGGCATAATTGTAGCCTTGGCCGCGAGAGAAGGGTTTTAGCGGGTTGAAGAGCAATGCCTTGAGATCGTTGATGAAATATTGTACCAATTTAAATACCACATTGTTGGAGTCATTGATATTGATGTATGTGGATGCTTTGCAGAGTTTTACGCATGCTATGGCCGAAGATTCGGTCACCTGCTTCGATGGCGAATGCGGTCCCAAACCACGCTTGATGCTCTCAATGAATTGCCTAGCCGAGAAATCTTTGTCGCGCGAAGTGGATTGAGTGGACTTTGAGGGCACCTTTTCCTTTTCTTTCTCTTTCTCCGACTGCTGCAGTTCATTAACAGTGGCCTCCAGGCTGGAAGGATTCAATATGAGCAACAGCATTTGCAGTGGCCAAACTAAAGTTTTGCTCTTCTTGTTTTCCGATTTAAAGTATTCTACAAAATCCAGAAGTGGCTCCCAGCAGCTGAAAGATCGTTTCGTTATAAAATTTCGCAATTGGTTTGAAGCCACTTACGTTGATATGTCGCGATTTGTGCCACGCTGCAGGTCCTGAAATTCCTGCGGGTGATACTCAATCCAGTTCCAAATGGCTTTCTCCAGCGAGTAGAGCAAAATGAGCGGCGGTGCACGCTTCGAGCGAAACTTGGTTATTGTTTCTAAAAAGAATTAGAGATCAATGACATTGAGCGTACTTGAGGTGGTATTATACCCTGCAACAGCTTGGTCAGTTTGATCATGTCCATGTCAATGTGCTGAATCAATTCAATATCGTTGTAGTCGGGATTTTCCTCGGAGCACGATGTCAGCTCTTGTATGCGTGCCGAGATTCGATTAAATACGGCCGAGAAATGGTTCTGCGACAGTGCAAACAGCACCTTGGACGCAAGTGCCTTTAATTGAGCTGCATTGGGATTGTTGTCGCTTTGTACGTCCACAAACTGTGAAATTTCGCGCAGCAACAGCTTCACATTCATGGCCTCCTCAAAGCGTGCCGTATCTTTCGTTTGATTGGTAAGACAACGCTCTAGCGTGGTTAATATGATGACCAGAGATTCAAAGTAGCAGCGTTCCGGCTCATAACGGTTTTGCAGCGCCTATAAATTCATATAATTAGCTATTTCTCCCATATATTTATATTTATTTGAGTTACTTACAGCCTCGTTGACGCGTTGCAGCATCTTGGTCAAGCCGGAGATAACCAGTGAGAAGCGATAGCGCGAGATGTGTATAAGGCATGCCACCAACTGGTCCTGGCTCATGCGCGCTTGTGTGCCATAGGCTCCAATTTTGTTTGGCAACTGCAGTTAAAACACATTTCTTTGATTATTTAAGTATATGCACTAGCGAAGTGCTGAGCAACTAGTTCACATCGTTTGCAACAACTCTACTTTAATTACTTACTCATATTTTTAATTATTTTATTTAAATTTAAATTAAAAATTAGATTTTACATTTTATATTTGTCATATGCTTACACATATGTACATATATTATGCATGTGTATTTGATTAAGTGCCCCGACAAGGGTATGTACGCTTCTAGCTGTCATTCAAAACACAGCTCGACAGTTCATTCATAAAGCTTCGCCGGCCCTACTGCCGCCTTAAGCCCCCTTGCACCCACACTCACACCAAAACAACATCGGCAGCAGGTACATTTTTTTCACTTCGCTTGAAAGCATCGTAACGCAACATATTGAAAATGCTGTAAATCGTTTACCTGATCTTCGAATCTTGCCAGGAGACCAGACGCCCATTCTCCAGGCTTTTGGGTAGCCATATTGGGTTTGTTTAAGAAATTCTAAATGCTTTTTCACTTCATTTTTTAATTTTAACAACGATAGAGTTTTGCAATATAGAGCTGTCAAAACGATGGCTGATGTTGCTTTGAAAGAGAGCAGCGAGTGTGTAAGGAACGAATGGGGAAAAAAGGTTGCGCATAAGAGTGAATCTATTTACTCTCATTGTGTGTGATGGTATATTATTTAACTACAGTTTGAATCTGCACCAAATATCAAAAAGAGTTTCTTGTTGTTAAATGTTAAAGTTTTATATGTATTTTGATGTTAATAAAACGAGAAACTCTCAGGGATGTGACGTCAGACTCTTTCGTATCTACGTGCCGAATAGGAGACCTTTGCAAATAAACCAGAATATTCGATATATGAATTATCGATTTACTGCTTGTGAATATAGTGCTGCCAAGCATAGAAATTAAGAACGAAAAGTGCTGCCCATCAAAAAAGAGCTGACCAGTGCGTACAATGTTGGGTTACAAAACGAACGTTAAAGTTGAAATTTTAGGGAACAGCAAAAATTTGTTGCTGACCGATTTGAATTTACATACGAATAATCCGATTTGTGTTTTAGTTGTAAGTATTGGTAGTTGTAGTTTATTTAATGTTTCCTTTTATGCATAACAAATTTGTATTTTTTCTTTAAGTTTATTGAATTTGTCTGGTAGTGTATGTTACTTTTTGCAGCTGTCTATCTTTGTGTGGGTCGTGCAAATACATAATACGTATTTTCAAGTTATATAATACTAATTATGTATGTATATACTATAACATTTGTTAATACATATTCAGCATATCGAGCGTATATACGTAGTTATAAATCGATTTCATAGTATTCTGAAGTTACGTTTTAAATCGTACCAACTCTTCATTTTCTAATATTGTACGGTATAAAGTTTAGTTTTGCTATCTAAAAAAACAAATGTACAGTCGCAATATACTTATTAAAAATCTGCGTTATTTTTGAAATAACATCGCCTTAGATGACAAATAAAATGTTATCAACAAATATAATTTGTTTTTCTTTTATGTTCGGGTTTGTTGGCCGTTTGGGAAGTGCTTCGTTTGGTTTTGGTTTTGGTTTTCGTTTTTTGAGGGAATCAAATAAGTGCATAATAAATATACAAATTTCGAATATTATAAAAATTGTTGTACAATTATTGTTGTGAGCTTGAAAACAGTTTTGCAAAATTAGTATATCTTGCAGCTTGACTCTTTTGATTACTCTTGCATTGAATATTGTTAAATGCAAATATTGATATTCGAAAACTTACGTATTGATTTTCACTTGCATTTAAGTAGGTATATATATGTAGTTAAATAGATTGCATTTTGTCAAGAATTTCTTTTTGTTTTGCGTATAAAGCCTTGGTATATTGATGTCTAGATATGGTTTTTGCATTTTCTATTTAATTATTTTGTTTAAGTAACTCTTATTTTTGAACTCTTAAATAGATATTTCTCTTTAACTTTTATTGAGTTATTTGTATGTCATTTGCAAATGGACGTTTGTGAGTATTCAATTTCTGAAATAAATAATTAACAAAAAAATAAAAAAAAAAATGTTGGAATTTAAACAATTATGATAGTTGTTGTTAATCATTTAAACATATACTGTAAGATTTCTTATCTGTTGTTGCATTTATAATTTGATTTTGTAATTTGCGTTGATTTCATTTCGATTTGCGCCTAAAAACTAAACGGTTTACTAGAAATTCAATTTCAATACAGTGCGGCAGCCCTCCCGTTGAGCAGGCCTGGCAACCCTAAGCAAGAGTCACTACGAATACTTAAGTTAGTGCTAGAATTTTGCGTTTCTTGTTCTCTCAACTAGTAATAAAGACTAAATTTAACAATTCCTTTGGGGGCTTCAGAGACTTATTGGGTTATCCAATTTGTATATATTTTGTAATTTCTTAAGTTCCTAACTTAGATCGTCCACACCTGCACCTTCTCGGCCACAACGCACCAGCTGGCGCGCTCATAGTAGGAGCTAACGATGTGCAGACTGGCCACATGATGATTAATAAGCGCGTCCAGCTCGCCCTCACGGAACACGTGGTAGAAGCGATGGTGTGTGGTGGCCCCACCCTGCGAGGGGCTGTCCAGCGAGGTGTTTGAGCTATTCGATTGCTCCAGCGACTCGGTGGAGGTTCGCTGTTGTAGCGTTTGTTGGTTCTGTTGTTCCTGCTGTAAGGGAGTACTTTCCGAGGAGCTGGATGCACTGGATGTCACCGATTTGATGGCGCTAAAGTTGCGCCGCCGGTGTCCATACTCGTGCATGCCCTCGCCCAGCTGATCGCCGCCGCGTGCTTCCAGCGCCTCGGCATCCTCATCCTCCTCGGGTATGGCTACAGGGTGGAAAAGGTGTTATCGATGAGAGTTCCAAGCATTTAGTATTGTCTACTTACCATCTTCATCATCGCGGACATCACTGTCCCCATCGTCCTGCAGCAAGTAGGCCGTCTCGGGATTAAGATTGTAGCGGCGGTTGCGTTTGTAGTTGAATTTAGAGACCTTGCAGTGCTCATAGATGCCCAGCGTGTAGCCCGGCTCATTCTCCTCATCCTCCTCGTACTCGCCCTCCTGCTCCTCGTGTATGGTAAAGCTGCGTGTCTGGGAGGACAGCGATGATGTGGACGACGATATGGGCGACTGCTGTAAGCTGGGCTGCGTCGAGAGATTGGCCAGCATCAGACGACGCTCACGCAGCTCATCACGCAACGCACTCCAATCGCCATTGGAGCGCTTCTTGCCACCGCTCAAGTACTCGCCAATGTCACCGATGCCGTCCAAGCTGCGGCACTCGGCGCGATTAATCTTGTCGTCCAGTTCGCGCTGCAACTGGGCCGTCAGCTGCTCGGCGAACTCGGCGCAATCGTAGGGCTGTTGCGCCTGGCCAGCTTCGCGCTTCTCCGGCAGCAGCGGTGCGCTGTCCGCATTGAGTATGATGTCATTGCCATTGGGCGTGGCATTGTTGATCTGCAGCTCGCTTGTGTGGTAGTGCTGCTCGTCAACGCTAATGAGCTGGTTCAGCGCTGTGTCCGATTCATCACTGGACTTGCCCGTGCCGGTGCCGGGCGCCGACAGCAGCTGTGCCGAGCGCGGGGCACTGATCACGCTGTCAATGGAGTCCGGCGAGGACGGCTCACTGGAATCGCTGTCCAGATCATCGGTAGCGGGGTTGAACAGCTCCAGCGAGAGGAGCTTGGTGGCGCTGGTGCTGCTGCTGCCCGCCAGACCGGAGCCCGAGGCACGTCGCACTATCGGAAAGCTCTGTCGTTGCAGCTGCAGCGACTGTTGCTTGCGGAACTTGGGAATGGGCGGCAGCTCTCGTATGGCTTGGCGTGTAATCCTTGGAACAGTCGGCGCCGTTGACAGCAGTTGCTCCTGCTGCTGTTTGATGTGCGCTTCGTCAAAGCTAAAGCGTGCCGGCTTGGCGACAGGCGTCAGAATGGCCATGGCTGCAGTCACAGCTGCCATGGACTGGGGCGGCGATGTGACTGCTCCCAGGATGGCTGCTGGAGAGTGGGCGGGCGTCGGCGGGCATGGCATGACGAGCGGTGACGTTGGCACGGAGTGGGTTGGCGGCAAACGTACCAGAGTGCAGGTCGAGGCAGCTGTGGTGGTTGCCGCTGCAGTAAGTGCCGCCTGGGCTTGTCCATTGCTGGAGCTGGAGTTGCTGGAGCTTGAGTTGGAGTTCTGCTGCTGTTGCTGATAGTTCAGCTGCTGCTGTTGCTGCTCCGGCTTGGGTATGAAGATGACCGAGGCAAAACTGTCCTCAGATTCAATGCTCGTGTCCGACTGCAGGCTGCTATCCTTGGACGAATCAGAGCCGGATTCGCGCGAGTGCCGGCGAGCGCTGCCCTGCTCACTCTCTGCGCAGGTCACACAATCCTGCTGATAGGCACTGCAGTGGCATATGTTGGGCGCATTGCAGTCCACTATGCTGCAGTAGCTCACTGGACCGCTCGTCGCGCTGGACAGCAGCAGATGGGCCGAGAACAAGGTGCCAGCGTTGCTCACATGATGATGATGGTGATGGTGCTGGTGTTGAATTTGTTGTTGGTTAGCTTGTAGTGCGGGCGCTACTGGCTGCTTGTTGTTGTTGTCCGCCTGCTGGGGATTGGGCGACACGGGTACGGGCGTTTGGCTTGGCGGCCCATTCTTAATATTCTGCATGAGCTTGGTTATGCCCGTTTTGGTCACACGCTCCAGACTGTCCGTCGAGCTTTTTATTTTGGTGGTAAAGCCCTCACGTATAAGCTGCAATCGCTTGGAGAACATGGCCGAACGGCAGAGGAAGGCCTCATTTAGCGAGGTCTGCTTCTGTATGCGCTTACGCACCCGCTCCTTTTCGCGCAGTCGATTGCCAGCCATCAGCTCCTCGTTCAGAGAGCTTTGTTTGCGCAGAAAGCTTGGCTGACTGGTGCCGGGCACCGGAGCTGCATCTGTCGTTTCAGCTGCTAGCGGCGGTGATGCTGTGGAGGATGCGTTTCCACTAATATTGGCCGTCGCCGAATGACTGCCGGTGTGCGTGTAAAGGCTGCTGCTAATAGTACCATTGGCCCCATTGTAGCTGCTGACCATGGGAAAGGCCACGTTGGCGCTTGAAACTGCTGGCGCTGGCCCGCCCAGCTGCGATATACTGTCGTCCTCGCATAGCGACTGCTTCTGCTTGATTAACTTGGGGCGGCGAGTGAGAGTGCTGCCCGCGCTGGCGGTAGTCGTGGGCGAATGGTAACCATTGAGCTGTAACTGGGCCTCGGGCGCGCTGATTAGCAGAGCAGCTGTGGCGCTGGTTTTGGTCTCGCCGGGCACCAGCGGACCACTCAGACTGGGCACACTCGAACGCGACCGCACTATTTCACGCGGTGGCGTCTGCAGAATGCTGCCTAGGCTGCGCGATTTCAGGCCAGCGGAGAGAGGCGGATCCGGAAAATCCTCAAAGTCTTCGAGGCGACGCAGCTCAATGGGCAGATCCTTGGCATCTTCATAGTCCAGGCTGCTATTGTTCTTGGTGTCCTTCGATGTCCACGAGTCCATGAACCAAGCTTGACGACGCCCGCTAGCCAGCTTCTACAACGGAAAATAATTGAATCCCCAAGGATATATAAGCTGATGCCCAACTTACTTGTAAGGCGCGTCGAACAAAACTATAGCAGGACTCGCCCGGCGAGGATGAGCTTAGGCTTGAGCTGTCGCCATCGCCAGCCGAGCG